CCGTTTCGATCTAAGCAAGATAGGCTAGCTGCCGAGGGTAAGGACACGACTGGAGCTCCGAGATCATATTTCTTTCAGAACGACGGCGAACCCCCGGACTTCGAGCGACACTTGGACTTCTTCGAAGCCAGCACCGTGGAGGCCTGGACCGGCATCATCAAGGACATCCAGCAGGGCCCGGTGAACATCTCGCTGCGCTCGATGATGGAGCACGCCCTGGTGGACACCGCGGCCGGCCAGGCGCTGATCGGCAGAGAGGATCTTGAGATACTCGTGACGGCGTTTCAGAAGAGAGGCTACCACGTGCACTACGAGATGGGAGGGGTGACAGGCCAGACGGCGAGCGGGATTGGCGGCAAGACCGAGCCGATCGGCAAGGCGTGGGTGCCGATCTCGATCGCGAACTATGGCTTCGTGGAGTTTCTCGTCATTCCTCATCGGTGCCCTCCGCTTCTTCCAGCGAGGCTGCTGGAGTTGATGGGCGCCGTGATCGACCTCAGGACGGGCACGCTCGAGGTCGACGAGGGAGAGACCCGGGTGTCTAGGCCTCTGTTCAGGCACCCATCGGGGCACCGCTCGGTCAGCCTCATCTTCGGCGACGCGAAGCACTTCGAGGTGTCCCGCGCGGTCCGCGCGTCCGTGCCGGAGGAGTGCTTCCCGCCAGTGGTTCAGGACCTGAGGGTGGGTGATGAGGGTAGGGTGCAGTCGGAGGCGAGCGTGTGCCTCCTAGAGCAGTCTCCTCTTTCTCTCTCCTCCCGGGAGCTCCGGGGGCCCGTCGAAGATAATCGTGCTCCAAGGGGACTCGCTACTGGGGGCAGCAGGCGTGACTCAAGCGGATCCGTAGCCCCTCAGGCTCGAGCGAGGCTAGCTTCTTTCTCCCCACGGCAGCCTCTCGACGAGAGCGATGGCGACGTCCGCCGCTCGCTCGCGCAAGACGATCAACAAGAGGCGCGAGGCGTCAGAGAGCCCGGGGAGGCGCCGTCTCCACAGTGTGCCAGAGGACGAGGTCAGCGACCCGGAGGGCACCAGTCCCTGGGAGAAGCTCGGCGCAGAGGCCTCCGCGACGGACGAGGAGCAGGACGACTACATGGCGATGCAGATCGCGGAGATGCTACAGGCAGAGGAGATGACGGAGCACGAGAAGGACCTGTTCCTGGCCGGCCAGCTTCGTCTCGGCCCGGCGAGCGCTCGGTGGCGTTCGATGTTCCTGAAGCTGATGGGCTCGGTGACGGCGACGGAGAACATGCGCTCGGTTTCAGGCATGGTCCCTCACCTCCTGCAGCGCGGCGAGGCGAATCCAGAGGAGTGCCCGCACCCGCCGTGGGCCCAGTGGTCAGGAGCGAATGCGCACGCCGCTTACACGTACTGCCGCAGGTGCGACACACGCATCGCCTACCACAAGAAGACGCCCGAGGAGAAGCTCGAGGCTGCCAAGAAGAAGCTGGTGAAGGCAAAGGCGGCGCAGACACGCCGGGAGGTGAAGCAGATAGTGGCCAAGGAGCTCGAGGAGTACGCACAGGCTCTCGAGGGGACGGGCGAGACAGACCCGTGGACGCCGCAGCCTACGCAGGTGAAGAAGCGCCTCGACCCAGTGAGCGAGCAACTCTGGCTTCACGAGGGCCGGGGCCGCGAGATTGTGGGGGCCAAGGCGGAAGTCCCGACGGTCAAGGAGATGGCCGTGCCGATGGCCCTCTACGTGAATGCGGCCGAGGGCTACGTTCCCGTGAAGCACCCCCCTCCGGCGAAGGCGCAGAGCGTGCCGGCCAAGGCGCCGCCGGGGACAAGGCCGATGACGACTGCCGAGATGATGCGGGCCCTCGCGGACATGACGGTGGTGATCGAGCAGCAGCGCGTGCAGAACGAGAGGGTCTACCAGAGGGTATCCGAGGTGATGCGCCAACCGCGCCAGGGCCTGAGCGACGAGGAGATGATGAGGATCGCGATGATGATGTCCCGGATGCAGCAGCAGGCCTCTTCGGCGCCGTCGCCCCCGGGCGCGTTGGGATCACAGGAGCCGGCCTGAACGGCACGAGCATAAGGGCCCACGAGGATCCTGACCCCCTTGCCTCGCTGAGTGCGAGGTCTGGCGCCCAGAGTAGGGAGGTAGACAGCACTAACGTCTTTCTTCGAGATATGGGAGTCTGGCATCGCAGGCTGCAGCCTAGGGTGGGACCCTCAGGATGCGATCCGGTTCTTGGAATCTGGGACCGCTCTCGGAAGGCGTTTCTCGGATCGGGAGATCTCGAAGACAGGCTCGGCTGGAGGCCAAAGACGCTCTCCGGCCAGGAGAGGGCTTCCCTTTTCGTCGCGCTGGCCATGGATGCGTGGGGGGGCACGAGCATTGCTAGCTTAAGGGCTCGCTGGATCGAGGTTTCCTCCCCCGAAGGTCTGGTGTGTTTGAGCTGTCCATGGCTGGGGGCGACCACGTCAGATATTAGATCGGCGCTGTCAGTCGCGAGGCAGTGCCCCGTTCCCGCGGAGGAGCGAGCTTTGGGGACCCAGCAGCAACCATCCCCTGCTCGTCTTCCGAATGTCCGAGTGTGGCAGGACACAGATTCTCTCCTCTCCTCCTCTCCTCCACCTATCTTCTCCTCACCTATCTCATCGTGCTCTTGCATCTGTCCGGAGGCGTTAGGTCAGGAAGGAGAGCAGGGAGCGAGTTCATGGACGAGATGTCGGGATGTCGGGTACGTGCTCGAGGACCGCTTCGCGGCTGCTGCCCTAGATGGTGCCGGACCTAGTCAATGGAGGGGTGCCACGGTGCCCAAGAAGGTGAGAGACGCGACGGCCCGGATCGTAGACGGTAGCGGCCTCCGATCTAGCAAACGACTTAGGCGCAAGCAGGTAATCGAGGCCGAGAGGACGCGTGCGGGCTCCTTAGTCTTAGAAGTGTTCTCACCCCCACGGGTATCTAAGGAACTGGCCCGGCGTGGCCACGTCGTCTCGAGCTCGTTCGACCTGCTGACGGGGGTGGACCTGAGGACCCCCAAGGGTCAGGCGGCTCTCTGGAGAGCCATAGAGAGAGACCAACCGCTCTTCATCGCGATGTCTCCAGAGTGCAAAGCGTTCAGTCAAGCCAGGGTCTCTTCGCGGGGCTCGATGAGGCACGAAGATCTGGTGGAGGTGGAGCAGCGAGGCCTCGAGTACATAGCTCTGTGTGTCAGTGTGGCTCGGCATCAGCTTGAGCGTGGGAGGTTCTTTTCCATGGAACACCCGGAGGGAGCCAGCTCTTGGGACTTGAAGCAGGTTCGCGCTCTGGCTGCTTGCGAGGGGGTCCGAATCGAAGTGGCCGATCAGTGCGAGTTCGGACTCTCGGCGGTTCCCGACGGGACCTTATCTCGCAAAAGAACGAAGTTGATGAGCAACTCGACTCACTTTCTCAGTGCTTGCGCGCGGCAGTGCTCGCGCGACCATGAGCATTTGCATCTGGAGGGGGGGCGCAGGACACGTAAGTCCGAGCAGTACCCGGTGGAGCTTGTCTTCGCTATGGCATCCGGCGTGGAGGCAGCAGCATGGTGGTATCACTTCGCTTCGACGTTGCCGACGTTCGTTGCCTCTGAGCCGCCTTCTGATGAAGGGGAACGTTCCTCCAGTTTTCCCGGGGTACCCCCTCTGGGGGCTCTTCCCGAGGGCGGTGAGCTTGGGGGTCTTCCGGGGGACACGGAACCAAGAGATGACCAGGAGGAGGCCCCAGAGGGTCTGCCCGGACCTATCGGGATTCCGGCCAGTGAGAAGCAACCCAAGGGACTTGACCCAGCGTTGCAGAGGGAGGTGCATCGCCTTCACGTGAATTTGGGCCACCCCACGCTCGAGGATTTCTTGGGGACTTTAAGGGTCGCCCGTGCGAAGCCTGAGGTGATTGAGTGGACGAAGTCCGACTTTCGGTGTGGCACCTGCGCCTCTCATGCTCGTCCGCACTGGCGTAGGCACGCGCATCTTCCGCGCACGTATGAGTTTAACAAGCTGGTGGCTGTGGATCTCTTTTATGTCGAAGTGGATGGAGTAAGCACGCCAGTGTTGAATGTGATTTGCCATGGGACCAACTACCAACAGGCCTGTTTGCTTCCAAACAATAGTGCGTTGGCTACTTGGAGGGGTTTTCTCCAGTTGTGGGTTCGGCCGTTTGGTCTCCCGGAGGTCCTTCTGCGCGACGGGGGGGCTGAATTTGAGCGGGAGTTTGCCAGGGGCTGTGAGCATGAGGGTATTTTCCAGCAGGTGATACCCGCCAACAGCCCCCATTACAACGGAAAATGTGAGAGGCATGGAGGGATCCTCAAGGATGTTATGTCAAAGGCTGCTCTCTCCCTCTCCCCGACCACTAAGGAAGAAGTGGAGGCCCTCCTCTGCGAGGCCGTGGCGGCCAAGAATGCCTCATATCACCGTGGGGGGTTTAGTCCAGTGCAGTTAGTTTTGGGAGCCAATCCCCGGGTCCCGAGGTCCCTGCTTTCGGATGGCGCGTTGGATCTGGTCGGGTCCGAGGACGTCTTGGGAGGAACCATGCAGCCAGACTCCGCGGCGGCCGCGTTCGCTCGCCGACACCAGATCCGAGAGGCCGCTCGTCAGGCTTTGGCTAGCTTGGACGCCAAGTCTCGACTTTCAGAGGCGAGCCGCGCCAGAGGTCACTCGGACAAGTTTTTCAAGCCAGGCGAGTGGGTGTACGTGTGGCGCCGAGTGACAGCAGCGAACAGGTCTCACAGTCTGCAGCGGGACAGGTGGACTGGCCCCGGGGTCGTTGTCTACCAGAACGGCAGCACGATTTGGATAGCTATGCGATCCAAATTGTACAAGTGCTCGGAGGAACAGGTCCGACCAGCGACTCGCCGGGAATCGCTGGGGGCTGAGCTTCTCGACACGGCCCGTTTCGACCAGCTTCGGGAAGAGGTCCGGGCCCCAGGGCGTAGGATTGGGGCGGTGGACGCGGCCTCAGAGGGCCCTCCCCCGCCGGAAGCTTGGGGCAGGAGGGGTGCCGAGGAGAGGGTCGATCCTTCTCCTGCCTCCAGGGTGTTGGCTCCGCCTACCGCTCCGGACATCTCGCGTCAGGTTCCCCTAGGCCCGCGTCGAGAAGATGAGGGAACTACTCTGTCTCCGCCGTCAGAGCCTTCAATGGCGAGGGCCATCAGCACCGAGGTCTCGGAGGCTCGTGAGGATCCAGGTCTTTCCCCCTCGGAGCCAGGAGCTTTCGACATTTCTCCGCACCTCGACGAGGCCAGGGGACAGGCTCGGCCAGCTTCGGAGGCGAACGACTCTTCCGAGCGTCCAGTTCGACCGCGTCTGGAACGGACCCCTGCTGAGGAGCTGCCGGCAGGAGTTCCGCGCGTCGCTCACATGATAGGGGAGATCGAGGGTTCCGATCAGGCTGCTGAGGTGCCAGCTCTTCCTCCTCCAGAAGCTCCTTACGCCAGCCGGGTGTACGGTCGGGCCCCCACCTTGCGATCGGTGTCCCAGCCTAGGGCTCGCCGATCGGCTCCTTTCGAATCGTCTCCTGGGACAGGCCCAAGGCAGGCCAGTGAGGGAGCCGAGGACTCTGGGGCTGGGGATGGCGTCAGTTATGCGGCCTGGTCGGAGCCCGACGATTTTCAAGACCAGCGGCTGCTGGACGAGCTGCGTGAATGGTCCCAGATTTCTGGGTCGCCTGATTTCCTTTCGTTTTTCGGGCTTGAGCCTGATTTCTCCGGCACGGCAGAGGCCAAGCCTAACAATCCTCGGGGGGCCGAGGTTTGTCTCAAGAAGCTGACCCCAGCCGAGAGGGAACAGTTCATCCACTCTGACCAGGCCGAGTGGGACGCCATCGTCTCGTCAGGAGCCGCGCGGGTGCTCTCGGTTGAAGAGTCCAGGAGCGTTCGGAGACGGCTTCCAGATCGGATCATGTCATCGAGAATGGTTCGCCGATTCAAACCGACCGAAGGCGTGGGATCAGCTGCTAAGGCCAAGTCTCGATGGTGTGTACATGGCCATCAGGGCCCAGATGCTGACACCCTAGCGGTGTATGCTCCAACGCCTCAGTCTGAGTCGATCCTTTTGGTGTGTCAGATCATGGCGTCTCTCGGGTGGATTCTAAATGTAGCCGATGCTAAGAACGCGTTTTGTCAAAGCAACAGGTTGTGCAGGCCCAATGGAGCGATTTATGTGGAGCCATGTTCGGGTTTAGATTTGTTGCCAGATCAACTTATCGAGTTGGTGGCCCTGGTTTACGGTTTGAATGACGCCCCGCTGCTCTGGCATCAAACCTTGACGGAGTTTCTGGGCACTCTTGGGTTTGTGAAATCGCTCTTGGAACCCTGTCTGTATTTGAAGCGGGCCTCGACGGGTGCACTCGAGTCTCTGGTTCTAATTGAAGTGGACGACCTTATAGTGGCCGGCACGGATGCGTCCATGTCCTCCCTCCGTGCGGCTTTGTGCGATCGTTTTAAGTTTGGCAAGTGGAAGCAGGAAGATTCAGAGTACGCCGGGCGACGATTGAAGCAATTTCCCCATGGAATAACCATAGATCAAGAAAAATACGTGCGTGAACAGCTTTCGCTGATGCATCTCGACCGAGAGCGTAGGAGTTCGCCCTCTTCCCCTCTCACTCGTGATGAGATTGCTTCCTTTCGTACGGTGGTGGCACAGGTTCAGTGGCTTGCTCGTGAATCTCGTCCAGACGCGGCGGGGCCAGCATCCCTGCTAGCTGCGGCCCTTCCTGAGCCGACCGTTGCCGACGCTCTCATGTTGATCAAAACGGTAAAGTTTCTTCGAGGATCTGCTGAGCAAAAGCTCACCGTCTGGTCTCTCGACCCGCTTTCACTCGTTTTTGCTGCGGCAAGTGATGCGGGCGGCCCTGGGTCAGCCCGCAGAGGAGGCGCTCAGGGAGCATGGCTCATCATGGCTGCCGACTCTTCGATCAGAGCGAATAAGCGAGCTAAGGTGAGTGTACTGGCCTGGCGGTCACAGCGACTTAAACGTGCCGTGGCCAGTACTGTGGCTGCCGAGACTCTGGCCCTGTCGGGGGCCACCGCCGAGGCCCAATGGCTGCAGGTCCTCTGGAGGGACTCGGTCTTCGGGGACGTGCCGCGACCCGAGTGGTTTAGGGCCAAGGCGCCCTTCTCAGTCATGCTCTCGTCTCAGTGCCAGCTCAGCGAGGCAGCACAGGGCCTCGCTGTGGTCGATGCTAAGTCAGTTTTTGATACGCTTTCGCGTAACTCCGCCGGATCACGAGCGGACAGGCGCAATGCGGTGGAGCTAGCGGTGATCAGAGACTCCCTTGCCGCCGTGGGTTCGCGTGTGCGTTGGGTCCCTCACGGGCGAATGCCTGCCGACCCTCTGACCAAGATGGACCCAGGGCGCGGGAGCTTGGCGCTCCATGACTTGCTCTGTCGTGGCAGTCTAGTCCTGGTGGACGAGCATGGTCACTTGAGCGAGAGATCTTTGAATGAAGCTTTGAAGTCTCGATCAAGAGGTGCGAGTCGTCGAGCCATGGAGCAGGCTGCGACTATGGAGGGCTCCGAGGAGCCCACGGAAGTTTTGGTTTCCTTGCCACACGAGGGCGGGAGAGGCTCTGGGGAGCCTTGTTACCTCGTGTCGACCTCCGCGGGGCGGGGTCTGAACTGTGTGTCCGTGGAGGGGCCTGTGGGTGTCTTGGGTTCTTTCGATCCTCTCTCTCTCCCCATCCCCTCCCTCGTGTCGTCGTCGCCCGTCGCCCACCGGAGATCGGCCGCGCCCCAGACCCTGGAGGCCAAGGGCGTCGATGCCCGCTTGGCGGGCGAGGCCGGGACTGGAGGAGGAGGAGGAGGAGGAGGCGAGCGGCCCGGGTCCGAGATCGGGCTTCGGTCCGCGAGAGTTAGTCCTGCTGTCCCCCCTACCCCTAAGTGCGACTTGGATGGGCCCCCTGTCTTTCCTCTTCGTACCTCCGCCTCTCTTGCTCGGCCCGTGTATAGCCGCTTTGGCTTTGATGCTTGTGTGCTGTAGCGCTCATGTGTCCTAAAAGAGGCCCCCGTCTCATCGACCCCGGACCCCAGCATGCCCTGCGATGGTGAGACAGCCCGACCTAAGCCTAGAGGTTGACACCAACACCCAGATCGGCGGTGTGCCGTCACTGAGGGACGAGCTCCTGAGCTCGGCGATGGTGGCAATAGTCGGGCTGCCCGAGTGGCCCCAGGCTAGTGCCACCAGCACCGGAAAATCCAGAACCATCGCACCCTCTGTGGAGGCCCCCCCACCTGTGTTGGCGGTGGTGCCCATTTGCCATGCCTCCTCCTCCTCCTCCTCCTCCTCCTCCTCCTCCTCCTCCCCCTCCTCCTCCTCCCCCTCCTTCCTTCCCTCCTCCTCCTCCTCCTCCTCCTCCTCCTCCTCCTCCTCCTCCTCCTCCTCCTCCTCCTCCCCCTCTGGCGCCTCAAAAGGCGCGAGGGGTTCTGGGAGGAGGGAGGAGGGAGGAGGGGGGCCTCCTCCCGACAGGGCCTGCCCCCCCCCCCCTCTCAAGAGGGGAAACAACACACAGACACAATTAGCCGTCGACGCCCCAGAAAATGTGGGAAACTGTGGGCAGTGGGGGGGAAGACAGATACCTAGAAAATATGGGAAAGTATGGGACTCCTTTTCTTTGTGTAAATTCATGTGTGTGTGTGTGCGTGTGTGTGTGTGTGTGCGTGTGTGTGTGTGTGTGTGTTTGTGTGTGTGTGTGTGTGTGTTTGTGTGTGTGTGTGTCCCAGGGCCCCTTCACTCTCGTCTCCCCTCCAGACTCGCCGCGGGTCCTCCCCCCTCCTGCCGGGAGGGGGGCGCCCAGGAGCGGCGCTGGCGCTGTACTTCCTGGTGCTGGTCTACAGCGACTTCCGGGGAAGGCGCCCGCGGCGGGACGCACCTGAGCGAAGCAGCACAAAACCACAGACATAATTTTTTGTTGGCGCTCCGCGCGGATTTCTTGGATCCGCGCCTGGGCCCCCCCCGGCGGCGCCTCGGGCGCCGCCCCCGGCGCGCTCCGCGCGCCATGGAGGGGGGTCCAGCGCGAATCCAAGAAATTCGCGCGGAACGCCACAAGCTTATTTTGATGTTGTTGTTCTTCTCTTATGGGCGCACTTGAGGCTGAGGCGGTCGGTCTTCGTGCGCCAGTGCAGCTTACGTCACGAGCGGCGAGCGTATCCGTATCCGTGCCCTTGCGGTCCGGATTCCGCTTGATCCGCAATTCCATGCCTGCGAAGCGCCTGCCAGGCCGAGCAGACAGGCGCGATATATATATATATATATATATAGAGAGAGAGAGAGAGAGAGAGAGAGAGAGAGAGAGAGAGAGAGAGAGCGAGAAAGAGAGAGCGGCGGCATCTTCGGCCGGGTCAGCCACAGGCCCGCGATCATGAATAGCCCCCCCTCGGTCCCTTTTCTCACGAAGCTTCGTGCGCATCCGCATCCGCTCCCCCGCGGTCTGGATCCCCGGCCGCGATCCCGCGCACACGCGGCCGCACGGCCAGGTACTCGTTCCGCGCGGGACACCCACGAAGCAACGCCCCGCAGCCGCAGAGGCGGCCCAGGGGCCCGGCCCGCGAGGCCGCGGATACGGATACCTTGATCGCCCACAATTGCCGCTAAGTCGGGCACTCCACAGGAGGAACATTCAGAAGTATGTCAACAATACCCTGGGGACGATTTGTGTTTTAACTATGTGTGTCCATTCTGGGTACGTATGTCGGAAGCCAGGCAAGGGCTGCTAAATCCGTGGCTGCTAAAATCGACCTCCGGGAAGTTGTCTTCGTCTTTCCGGGAAGAAGCCCGTTGACTGTTTCGCGTGCCGCCTCATTCTGGAAAGTTGTTTTTTCCTTCCGGGAGGGCCGTTTTTGCAGCCACGGTTTTAGCAGCCCTCGCCCAGCTTCCGAGTCTGGACAACTTATTATTCTTGTTCGTCCAAAATCCGCCTGTGGGGGGACATGCCCGATCGAAGTGTACGCCTTGGCTGCATCCCACGACCGGGTTGCAGCAGCAGCGCGGCGTCCCTTCGCTCGCTCGGCCCGCGGGTGGGCGCCTCGCCCTCCTCCCACTGAGGAGGGGGAGGGGGAGGAGGGGGAGGAGCGGGAGGAGGAGGAGGAGGAGGAGGAGGAGGAGGAGTAGGAGGGGAAGGAGGAGGAGGAGGAGCGAGCAGGAGGAGGAGGAGGAGGAGGAGGGGGAGGGGGAGAGAGGAGGAGGAGAGGATGAGGAGGAGAGGAGGAGGAGGAGGAGGAGGAGGAGGAGGAGGAGGAGGAGGAGGAGGAGGGGGGGGAGGAGATAGGCGGACACGAGATAGAGGCCTGCAGCGAGCCTGTCTTTTCACCGATCCCTCACGAAGGAAGCGTGCTCAGGAACATGTCCTTCGTCGATGACCTTCGTCGACGGCGGCCTGCCCGTCCTGCGGGGGTCCCCATCGACCGAGTGCGCGCCACTACGTGGCCGAGTGCGCCGCCCTGGCGGGTTTCCGGCAGGAGCTGAACGACGCGTACCACATCCCACCTGGCTGGTGGGCACGCCAGCCGCGGGCGACGCTGAAGACGGGATGGATCACTTTCCCGGCTCACGCGTCCGCGGCCCGCAGAGCGGAGCTCCAGGTGGCCGTCTGCCGCATGGGGCTCGTTGCCATGGCGCAGATGGCAGAGGATTGCGAGGTGTTGCAGAGAGCCTAGGGCATCCGAGCGGCTTCGTCCCGATGTTCGACTTTTACGGTTTGTTCTTCGCCCTCTTCTTCTCCATGTTCACGTTCCCCCAGGTTTTAATTTCCGTTCAGTTGCTCCTGATGTACAACTCGCCCCCTCAGAGACTACAGCTCGACCGCAAACGCCAGCGAACTGATCAACACGACCACTCTGGCAGCTGCCAGGCTCTGCACAGCAGCGTTCCAGCATGGCCTGAAACCACACCCAGACAAGACCAAGGCCATCCTCATGCACTACGGCGCGGGGGCCAAGAAGGAGAAACAGCGGATCGCCAAGGAGGGCATCACATACCTCGAATTGGACGGATTTTCTATCAAGGTGCAGCTAGTAATGCAACAAAAAGCCCTCGGTACCATCATCTCGGCGGGCGGAGTCATGGGGCCAGAAATCTGCCTAAGGGTCAACCGCACGTTCGGTGCAGCCCGGTCTCTCGAGAAGCAGATCCTCCGCCGCAAGAAGCTCTCGAAGAAAGCCAAGGTGAAGTACGTCCACTCGTTTTCGACCTCCTCGCTGACATACAACCACCATGTCTGGGGCGACCTGACTCTGAAAAACCTGAAGCATATATCCGCCAAGCACATGGGCCCATACCGTGTTGCAGCCTCGCTACCCAAGACCAACTCTCCCGACCAGCACATATCCGAAGCCGAGGCAATCGCCAAGACAGGAGTACCCGACTTCATCACTCACCAGTCGACAGCGCGACTACGATATTTACCAAGACTCCTTAATCATGCTCCAGCAGTCCTACTCCAGCTCCTCGACGGCCAGCGCCAACGAAAGGGCACCTGGAGCCGCCAGCTCAAGAAAGACTTCGAGTTCATACGAACGTACTTACCAAGAGAGAGGTGGCCCAGCCAAACCCAGCACGACCGCGACATCATCAACCGGGCCCGACAGAAGCCGAAGCTATTCACCAACGCAGTCAAGGCAGCTTTGAAGGCCTACATTCTCCACGTTCGCGACCAAGCTCAGGGCGCCAAGCTCCAGAAGGACATCCAGATGATCACCGTGGCTCACCCAATTGAAGACTTGGACCTCTGCGACGACACCAACAACCAGAAGTGCGTCTGCTACGCCTGCGGCCGAGTCGCCTCCAGGCAAGGCATGTCAACCCATATGGGCAGGGATCATCCAGACCACGAAGACCCGCGCTTCTGGGCCACAGGCACCGCGTGCCGATGCTGCCAGACCGAGCACCACTCTCTTCCGAGGCTCATCGAGCACTTATCGGTGGCCCACCGTTGCCGCAAATCCTGGCACGCCTGGCGCATCCAGACGATGGAGCCTCTGGCGGAGCAGCAAAGAGCAGAGAACCTCACCGCCATCGCCGAGGCCACAAACGCCAACAAGAAGCAAGGACGACACCCAACCTTCAGCGACAAGCCAACCCACCCGTGCGACGTTACGCCGCTGCCGCTCCTTGAGACGTCGCCCGTCGCACCTAAAGTATTCGCCAGACTTGAGTCATTGCCAGGCAGCCCACCCGCGAGCTCGCCTGCAGGACCAGCCGAGCGCCAAGGGGTCGTCTTCATCGCCGACCGCCCTCGACAGGCCGCCGACCTCCAGCAGATCATGGCCAACAGCGGGGCCACGAGCATCAGCGGCTTGGACTACATCCAGATCCCAATCCACAGCGATGGCCAGACCTCAGAACTAATGCCAGAACTTCGGCGAGTACAACGCAGGATCCTACATGGCGTGATAGCGGCCATCTACGTAGAGTTCCCGCGACGAACCTGGCACCTACACGATGCAAGCGACGTTCTCTAGGCAGCAGAGCATGCAAGCGGCGCGCCCCCGAGGCACTTTGGGGAACGCCTCAAGTCTCCGAGATCATCGCCGGCGAGATATTCGCCGCCAACAACGTCACGCGAGAGGTCTTGCGCGTGCTCTTCACGGCGACCACGACCAACGTCCCATGTGTCGCAGCCATCTCGGCGGAGTCGATCTTCAGGCAGACTCCCGAATATCAGTGCATCGCCAACCTGAAGACTGTCTACGAGACCCCGACAAATCACTACGACCTCGGCGCCACACAGATCCTCGACAACGGCGCCCGCGACGACCTCCGCAAAATAATGGCCACGGCAAACGCAGAGGAGATCGACTTCGCCATCGCCGACCTGCTCGACGGCAACATAGTGGCTAGATGGGGCCTCGGAACCGCAACCGTTGCGCCCACCGGCCAGAACCTGAACACCAACGACGCGCACTACATCGAACGGGAAGACGAAGTGCCGCCTCATGCGGAGGGCGATCGCCACGATGGGCGTCGTCGACGACAAGCTCGAAGGCGTCAGGACGCAAGCCCTGAGGAAGCACCGAGTGCGTGGGGACACCTCAGGCAGCGTCGCCAAGTTTTGCATGAGGCGTTAGGACGCAAGTCCTGGGGCAGCCCCGAATGCGCGGGAACACCCCAGGCACAAGTCGCCACGTTTTGTAGCATTGACCAAGGCAGCGGCCGCACGAGCACGAGTTCAGCGGCTACCTGTAAGCCGCGTTACACGCGCCCTCCACTCTTGCCAAACACCGCCGACCAACTACAACCCACGCCCCAAAGGACGGCATGCCACGCCACCCCGCAAGTCAACGCTGCCCTGGTGAGGCAAGGGTCAAATTGCGAGACGGGCTCGAAGGGTGGGGGGGTAGGTCGAGTACTGCCCGCGCCTACCAGGGGGGATGGTGAGGGGCAGGGGGCGCGGGGGGGGGAGGGGGTGGGGGGGGCGGCCGCTGCCCGCGCCCCCGCGGTCCACTGCCCGCGCCCCCGCGGTCCGCCCTAGCTCGCCACCCCCACCATCCCCACGGAAAAGGTGGTGCTTACCCGATCGCCCAAGGGGCGAAGCTGAGGGCAGCCGAGACATTCCTCACCGACAACAGCAGCAAGCACCAGGCTTGGGGTTCGCCCCCACCCAGGGCACCGTGACCCCTAGCCATAGCGGGACGAGGTGGGGCCGCCACGAACCCTACTTGAAGTCGGTGCATGGAGGCCTCTCAAGTGCGCCCATAACCCATGCCATAACCCCGGCAACAATCCGACCTCCCCACGACCTACCCATAGACATTCGAGACGACCAACCACAACGTTTGGGACTCACCACCGACCGACCACCCACCCCGCAACCATCACCCAGCCAACAACCACCACCACCTCGACACAACCTGCCCGCTGAAGGGAGGACAGGAGAAGGGTCCTCAGCAGCGTGGCGCGACGCAACCAAGACGGAGCTTGCTGAAAGGAGGACAGGAGCAGGGCCCTCAACAGCGAGGCTTGACGAGCATGCCTGGGAGACGTCGAAAAGGAGGACAGGAGCAGGGTCCTCAGAACCGACCTCCTGCAGGAACGCCCGCAGGAAGGAGGACAGGAGCAGGGCCCTCAGCTGCGTGGTAGAACAAAGACAAGCAACCCTAGCACCTCCACCCCACCAACTACGACCATCACCTCGACGTGACCAGCCTGCTGAAAGGAGGACAGGAACAGGGCCCTCAGCAGCGAGGCGCGCTGAACCTACCTCGACTTCAGCTGAAAGGGGGACAGGAGGAGGGTCTTCAACAGCTCTGAAGGTAGTGAACGTATGGAGGCCGCCCAGAAGGAGGACAGGAGCAGGGTCCTCAGAAGCGGTGTCCAGCACGTACGCCATCAGAGAGGAGGACTCGCCAAGAGAAGGACGCGGCGCACCGTGCGCCGCGGCGAGGCCGTCCCTAGCCCACGGGCCGAAGGGGGGCACGGCCCGCCCCCCGTGTAACATACGGGGGCCGCCAGCTCAGCCGAGCTGCCTCGCGGCAGGAGAAGGTCGGGCGCCCCTCAGCTCGCGAGCAAAGGAGGGGCGCCCGTCGCAAAGAAGGTCGGGAAGGACGAGTTCGGGGCCCACCTGAGGCCGTCGGACTGACGGGCTACGCCGCGCCGCCCGTCGGCGCGGCACAGAGCCCTCACTGAAAGGGCTCGCTGAAAGGGGGGGGAGGAGGGGGAAGAGGAGGAAGAGGAGGAGGAGGAGGGCAAGGAACAGGTACCGACAGCGCTACCATTCCCTTGTGTTCGTCTGTTCGGGGGCATCCTGGAGGGCCCTCGTCGCCACGGCCAGAATCGCTTCGAGCTTGTGGTCAGAGCGCACTGCGGCCCGGGAGAGGTCCAGAGAGTAGTGGTATGGGTATCTCGTGGCTCCCCCAAGGAACCAGCCCCCCGACGACATGATTATGTCATCACGTCGACCCTCGGAGGCTTCGACCCCCCACCCCCCCGGGTCGGCGCTTCGTCCCAAGTATGTTGGGCGTCGCGGCGCGCAACGATGGGGGTAGCGAAAAGTGCTGGGCCAGCGGGGACTGCAGAAAAGGGGCCCTTCCAGGGCCCAAGAAGGGACATGCGCGGCCCGAGGAGGTGCGCCTCCGCGTCGCCCTCCCACGGATCGCCCCCCCCCCCCACCCCACCCCCCCCACGAGGCGACGCCCGAGAGCGGTCCCCCCTGGTCGGGCCCAGGGCTCGCCGAGAGGGTCCGCCCCGGGGGTCCGCCGCCGAGGGCACCTGGACCAACAAAAAGCCTTGTGGCCCGAGGGGGTCGTTGGGAACGTGGAGGAGGCAGAGGAGGCCTCCTCCTCCACATCCTTCTCCTCCTCCTCCTCCTCCTCCTCCTCCTCCCCTCCTCCTCCCTCCTCCTCCTATCCTCCTCTTCCTCCTCCTCCTCCTCCTCCGTCTCCTCTTCCTTCCTCCTCCTCCTCCTCCTCCTCCTCCTCCTCCTCCTCCTGCTCCTCCTCCCCCTCCACCAGTCGTTGAAAGGATTTTTTGTTTTTTGTTTTCCAAGCCTCCTAGATGGGGTCCGAGTAGATGGGGTCGGAGGATCGCGCCGCATCGCTGATACATCGACGATGCGGTTCGATATGGAGCCCGTGTTTCCCCACGCCGACGTCGCCGATGCATCGCTGACGTCACCGATGCATCGGCGATGCATTTGCGATGCGGCGCGATCCATCGACCC